TGAAATTGAAAGCAACTTCGAAGTTACTCATTGAACATTATCGTCTCACCGTTGATCATTAGCAACAAACTTATCGTCATCGATTTCTACAATAGTGACAACAAACGGTATTCCTTCTGTATTAAAAGTTTATATTGACGCATGTTTTTATGAAAATATTCAATAAATGCCCATTAGAAATACATTCGTCCTATTGTTGAGTTAATAGGGAAACTAGAGATAAGAGCAGAGTAACCAAACTGATAAAAACTGACTTTCAGTATTAGCTCAGTTACTGTTGTTCTAATTTTCTTCTCGTAGCTCAAGTTGTATTAATAAGCTATATACTCTTTGAATTTGAATGAACTCTACGACACCACACTTGAATTCGTAAGACTGTTTTTGTTGTTTGTCTTATAATGACCCTGATATTTGACTCTCTTTTTAAGTTGTATCCTCTCGAACAACGTGATTCTTTATCAAAGATTATATTCTATGGTCCATATTAGGTAGAAAATCTCACAATCAGAGAACCAACCTCTAATTTACCAAGAAGAGAAATAGCTGATACGCATTTTCTTATGAGTTAACAGCCTTAGTAAAACGCATTTTACCACCAAACCCGTTTACCTATTGTTATTTTTGCTTCTGCGAAAGCCCACTTAATATTTTCGGCAGTTCATGACTCATGTGTTTAAGAAAAATTTGTCAGTAATGTATGACTCATTGACCGAACATTTAAACGCGTTCTTTCCACTTTTTTGCGATTGTATACAGTTAGACAAATGGACTAATATTTGAAATAAAGGACAGCACTTTTTTCTCAGTATATTTTTCGTTGTCATGTGAATCCACCATATATACATCTATCTCCCTCGCACACAACTTCTATTGAGAACTAAAAGTTCGTAATGTCTATTGCAATAACCGCAGCCGTGCCACCTTTTCAAATGGACTGACGCCTAGGCTAGGAACATCAAATTATTTATCGTCAACAATGGATAAGAGCAATAACGTAAGCAAGGACCTAAATAATTACCATCTTAAAGAGCATTTTTATGTGTTGAAATAGGATCACACAACGGTTATCCGTACTATTATTAATAGTCCAATGACGGGTCTCAATATTCGAGCAGAATTCTGCGGTCACCAGGTAGTAATTAGAATAATTCTTTTGCATTTCTAATATTTTTTTATTTACGTTTTCGCAAGTTTAGGATTGTGATTTGAATGCTCTTCGTTTAATGACGGGTAGTATTATTGATGTTGATGAGATCCGGGATTTTCAGGAAGTTGAATGGACAATAATGTATAAGTGTACTGGAAGGGATGTGAATACCAGGTGGTTATAATAGCCTGTTTTCTTTTTTAGACACCACGATCCATTAATTAGATCGTTTGTATCAAAACGTATTGATGGTAAGACTGTTCTGCTGAATTCTGAGTCAGAACTAGCAATGTTCCAAGTCTTGGGATCACTCTAGTCAAAACTTAATCCAATTTTTCATTCCAGATCTTGCTAGAAAAACGCAAATAATTATTGATCATTATTATGAAAATTTGAAGTTTGAACAACGTATGTTTTGCGTTTAACTTTGAGTACATCTTCAATACGTTCTCATGCAAGAAAAATCTTTCAAAAATGTTTAATTATAGTGATCAGAGAAATTATTGTTCTTAGAAGAATGTTACAGACGGCTAACTATAAGCGACTGGCGTATATAGAGGTCATCATATATTGAAATATTTAGAAAATTCCCTTCTTCTTTTTCCAGGATTTAACAGAACTCAAGAAACTTGTACGTCAAAACCACCATCATCGTTTTCAGTCACTGACATTCAATATCAACGATCGAGAACGCACAGTTCACTTTCAAGTTTTCAATTTGAATGTCAACAATTGCCATTTTATTCTGTTGTTAAACCAAATAGTTTACTTGGTAAGATAGCTGTTGCTTGTTTCATTGAATACTGCTTATTTTGTGTTCCGAAACAAATATAAAATTTAGATTGATTAGTACCAAGACTGGTTAAAACTTCAACAAGTTGAAGCCTTTTCGCTTCGTTAACCTGAATCATTGAGTTTAAAAATTAATTTCGAATCGAGATTCTGCATAGTTTGTCTGATCGCGGTAGAAAGTGATTTCTCTCTGAAGATTAAGCGTCAACTCTTAAATCTTTGTAGATCAGGGCATGAAGTTTCGACAGAGTTTGCCTCAAAGAAAAACCAACAAAATATAGTGAATATTTACTATTCATATCTATAGACCTATATATAGGAGTGATTCGTACAGACAGGATACCGCATGTATGATATAAACGGTCTCAAGACTTTCTCTTGTAAGAGTTGATCAAAAAATTCCAGTCTTCGAATATATACTCATCTGTCATCTATATTAGACGCTCAAAATATGGTTATTTTATCTCTAATTGTTTATGAGTTATACAAAATATTTGCTCTGATCGTTATTTTCACGTGTGTTTCAGTTGTGGTTCACATACGTTTCATTTTATAGATGAACTTTTTCTCCCTTACTTTCACATAATAATACTCATTTCTTTTCTGTTTCCTATAGTATTTTTTTGCTCTGTATATCTGAATATATTATTGCAAAACACAATCTAAATACTCCTTTTGATTACCGAATAATTCGTGATTTACTGACGAGGGAACATCGCCAGATGTACTCTCCCAAATTCAATGGTCTTTTGGCCATAGATACTATATATGGTCGTAGTAAAAAGCCTAAAAAGATTTGAGTTCATAGTGCTTCCTTCAAAAGTTATAGCTTTTTTAATTTTGCTTGTATTAATTAAAAAAATTAACAACAAATTAAAAAAAAATACCCTTCTTCGGTGAGAGGCCTCTACAGGGCAGAAGAGAGAGAACGTTCTCTCTGACAGTGTTCAGTGTGAAATTAAAGGGCGAATCATCACCAGGTCTCCAAGACACTCTTTCCGACGATTCATTACTCGTGAAGGAATCATAGTTCTTCTAAAACACATAAAACACACATCGTAACTTCCTTACGGTTTCGGAAAATCCTGTGTTTCGGCAAGAAAAAAAGCAGAAAAGCTGAAACTTTCTGTGGCTACTGAAAGCTACCACAGAAAAAATTCAGATCACTAGCACGTTTTTTGAAGAAGTTATAGAGTTTTTAATTTTGTTGGTGCGCCTAATACAAGCAAAATTAAAAAAGCTATAACTTTTGAAGGAAGCACTATGAACTCAAATCTTTTTAGGCTTTTTACTACGACCATGTATAGTATCTATGACCCAAAGATTATTGAATTTGGGAGACTACATCTTGGATGTTCCCTCATGAGACCAGAGACGGTTTGATACTTATTTGCCCCGCAATCATCCATCTTGTACCATGCCTTAAGAAAGATGATGGAACCTTTCTTTTTTCATCGTAAGTCTAGCCTGGTGGCAAGATTATTCGGTAAAAATGGCGAAGATTGAAACTGATTTCAAGGCAGAAAACTGAAAGACACTAGAAATGGCCTGTTTTACTTTTCCTGTAACTTAAGGGTAACAAATAAAAATAAATACCAACTTTTACTCTAAGAGTTCTAAGCATTCTGACCTTAGAATTAAAATTCTGTAACAGAATGACTACGGAAAATGATGTTATTTTTTTCGATGAAAGACGTGCTACTTATCAGCGTAGTAGTGACAAACAAAAATCAAAAAACATTGAAAAACTATAGCAGAATAGAAAAGTTCTTGATTTTATGTGATATTTTCATGTTTTTTGAGTGAATTCTACTATATAAGAGAATATTTTATGTTTTTGATTAGCAAGAAAGACAATGCTGATCTACAATAGTTACGTTGTTGAGTTCTATCGGAATTCATGTCTGCGGAAGTAATGGTAGCTTTTTGAAAGAATCTTTGGAGAACTGATTCACATTGCCCGGTTCTATACTTCAGAATCTTTGGGTGGATTCCACGTTATGGAATGATGTATCGATCTTCCCAGAATATTGGAAGAGCCAAAAAAAATTCATTAAAATTGTCCACCAGGTTTGCAAAAAACTATAGATTTGTAGAGATCCTACATAAAACCTGGTATAATTTTTTCGAGCGCAATTCTCTCACTTATTACCAAAATAAGCTGATGGGACCTTTCCCGGTAACGTAGTGGAAAAGTATTTTCCCATTATGAAACAAGAAAGAAGGGATAGTTGGTCAATTCATATTTTACCGTAGTACAATGTACCCACTACCAGTATATGATAGAGAAAGGCTAGTCTTTCAGATCTTTTTCGAATCAATTTTTTCAGATAAATTGTACTCCTTTATGAAAATCGCTCATAGATATTCATATTCATCTGAATATCTACTATCCTATAAAACTCTTATGACCGGTATGATCCTTATAACTCTGATGGCCTAGACAGCTCTTATAACGGTCATACGAGTCACAAAAGCTCTATAAGACATAGCAGTCATAAAATTCGAAGAGCCATGAAGGGCATAAAAGATTTGAAGTCACACAAGTCGAACAGTTACATGTACCAAGAGCAACCACAAACTTAAAACAATATAAACCATCAACCGTTTCTTCCTTTACAGCATCATATCTCTCAGAAACGACCAGACGACGCTGATCCATCTAAAGTTGATGCATTTCGAGAGAAGCCTATGAGAAGAGTGACTTGCTCTTCACTTGCGTGACCTAGATAAGTTGTTCTCATATATGAGCTTTAGATTCACAGCTCTGCTAACATCGAAATAAGTTTCAATTTTCATGTGTTAACGTAAACGATCATTTAGTAATAATGCAACGAATTTTTGCTCGAAAAAGTTCTATATTAATGCTCTATATACAGGTAAAGCAATACAAACATGTGGTACTCATAAACAGCAAAGAGTGGTATTACCTAATGAAATCCAATTAGTTGGTCAAAGAAGTAATAGCCATTCAGACGATGTATGCAGACAATAGGCATTTGTCGGTTCCGGATTCATTCTGTGCTGTCTGTTTGTTTTACTCTAGAAATGCTCTGTACTCAATGATCAGCCATTATTAATTGAAACGGCAAAATGGGAAAATCAAATATCCGATGGAAGCGATCATGAAGAGTAAGTGGTGTACTTCACTAATTTTAAAATCTTAAGGTATATCTATTTATTTTCTGTTTATTTTAGCGAAGATGCACGTGTTACATTTAGAGATATGATTAGTGTGGCAAAACTATCCGAATGTTTGAAAGAACAGGGTATTGAAACAAATACTGATATTGATTTTATTCATTCGCTGCTAAGTACGCTTCAACCAATGACAATAAAATGTGTTGAAAAATTAAAACATATGGATGGCAGTAATTATTATTTTCAACGTTTAGTGCTGAATGATCATATTTTGTTTCCATCAGCGATTAGTAAATCAATTGATCACGCAAAAATATTAGCATATAAAAATATGATCGATACATGTTGTTCGGAGACAGGTATTAAAATGAAATCGTTATCAAATAATCGATGTAAGGTAACAAAACGTCCATCGGATGATAAAAAACTTGAGCGTGATCTCAACGCATCCTACATCACTTCACACGATTTAACGTATTTATCACAGCATAGATAACATTGGACTTTCTTCCACTCCTCTTTATTTTTATCTTAATGTTAATTTAATTAATTTTTTCGTGCTATGAGTAGAGTTATAAATGAAAACAAAAGATTTTTTCTTAAACTGTATTTCTCTTGATGCTATTTTTTCAATGTAATTTATTTTCGTGTAATGCCCAAATGATAATAAGTTTTCATTTTTCTCCATTCTAATAATAAAATGTATTCTTCTTAATAATCGATTACAATTCGAATTCATCAGATCTTCTGAAGAGTTATAGAAACTTTATGAGAGATTTGCCGAGATTGGATGAAGGTAAGACGTGAAGTTCGAAAGTAAGAATTAAATTTTGCTGTCTCTAGATGGCGCGTATAGTAAGTTGAACTTGGATTTCTACCAAGCATTCAAAACTAGACATCGTGACACATACAGTCAGCATCAAAATTGATCATAGGATGAAAAATGAAAAGCAAGTAAAAATATTTTAATTGTGGCACTATAGTTAATGTGACCTTTGTTTATTATTCAGATCGGTATGATTGAGGTTGCTCGAACGGAAAAATATCCATAGAAGATCATGTCACAAAATTCTGAGCAGAAATACATCGATTTTCTTTTTCGCTGTTCTATCTCTAGTATACATCTGAGCTCAATCGGACGTGTGCATTTGGCAACACGGTGAAAAAGTGGGGAGTATCCTTAACGCTATATAGTCTCACTAGTGCGAGGTAGTAGTGGCAACAATAACAAAGAAATTCTGCTTTGTTTATTTACTGTTTTCCGTGTAAATTTAATCTTATCAAATTTAATCTTATCTTAATTTATCAAATACTGGCATAATGCACTTTTAAAAATAATTATCAACATGTTGACGGGTGGATTGTTTTAAAATATCTTCGTTTTTAGATAATACGTTGTAAATTCTTAGAAAATAGCCTTCTATTTCAATCATCATTAGTTTTGCTTTTGAATACATTAGTTCATCTATATTTACTAATAAATGTTTACTATCATCGATATTAGGTCTTTTGCAAATTTCTTTTCCAATTGCTGCACGTTGTTCATAATAATCAAATATTTGTCCAAGAAATGCAACGGAAACTGCCTTCATGGAGGCAAATTCGTCTAGTATTTCATTTTGTACAACAATTCGAAAATCATCACCATTTGCATACGATGATATTTCCAGTTCAAGCCATGCTGTTAAATGTTCAACAATTTCAATAAATTCACGTAAATAATCCTGAACGGGACGAATAGCATTGTCTAAATGAGCATTTGTTCGAACTAATGGACTATTTTTATTCCGATTTAAATTATTTAGTGTGGAACTGTTGTCAGTATGTTCACCATTACCTGACTGAGACATACTGTCATTTATAAATAAGTTCTTAGCTGAATTCACAACAATTTGGCGATATTCATCATTAGCAAATAAATTTTCTTTCAGCACATCATTAATTTGTTTTGCTTTAGTAACAAGAGTGGGTAGAAGCTCTTCAGCATTCAATTTAATTCTATTGTACAAATCATCAAATACTGTATTGTCCACTATCACTTTCTTTCGTCCAATATCCATTAAAGCAAGTGATGTTTTAGAAAAGTTGCAATAAAAAATGTACTGTATATCGCTAATTCAACTTTAAAGGAGTAAAAACTATATTCCATGGTTACAGTTCACAAGAGTTTGCTCTTAGGTAGACAATTTTCTTTTTAAACGCATTTTGCTTATTTTGTCAACTTTACACGGATGCTATGCGTCTATTCGGAGCGGGGCTAACATATTTTTGTGAACTAACTGAGAAGCCGTTTTTTCAAAACGTCTGTTTACAGTACTCGAAAAGTAAAGTTGTATAATTCAAATGTTCCAACACAGAAATGAAAAATTGGAACGAGTTAGGCAAGAAAATAGCTGTACATGTATAGCTTTCTTCATAAATTCAAATTGTTTAAAATTTTCATTTAATCAATGTGGTGATGAAGATCATATCATAATGCTAAAGTAGTTATTAAGATGTAAACTGATATCGAAGAGTTGAACAACGCTTTTCGGAGTGATGACACTGGTACAATCGGACAAATGACGTATATTTATTATAAATCTTTTATTTTCTAGTGTGACAGTAGTTTTCAAAAATTCTACTTACGTCACTCGACAAACATATTGTACATGTTTACATTTGCTTTTTCGTGTAAAAATGATAATCTAGTTTTCAAACATCTCGAAATTATAAAACTGATTAGTTAAAAACCAATTAGTTAAAAAATAATTTAAGTCCGTTTCTAGTTTGCTGAATAAAACAGATAATAGAGTGCTTACATAATTCTGGCGTTCTTGGTTTAATCTTCGTTAGATTGGATAGAAGGAGGACGAACAAGCTATGCATAGGGAAGAATTACATAGAAACAAACCTTTATGCTGATTCTTTGTCCGTCAATAAATTCATTAAAATATCTTCAAATCAGACAAATATTCAATTTACCAATACTATTTCTCTTCACGACATACGCAAAAGTTTAGTAACGAAAAAAAAATTATCTAGTCTAGAATCTGTACAATATGAAACATGAGAACATGAATAGAACAAAATAGACAAAAATATTTACATCTGATAGTGTCAACTTAACTAGCTATATCCATATTACTATCATCAGTAGGAACAGTAACAAGTGATGGAGTTTCGTTTTCAAATGAAATTTCTACACATTCCATTGTACGTAAATTTAATGCAACACACGTGAGACTATTGGCAAATGCTGGAATACAAATTAATTGAATTTTTGTCTTCCCATCTGGTCCTTAGAATAAGTATACACTTACTGGTAAATTATATATAAGAAAAAATCAGTTATCAGTATGTTTACCTTCAAACATTCGTTGCTCAAATTTTGGTTGATTACCAGCAAAAAATATGTTTGGTGTATTCAAAATAACGAATGGATCATTATCAACATATGGATAACAACCTTCAAAGGAAATTCATTTAATTTACAAAAATTAAATTATCGTAAGAACATACTCAATGTATCAGGACATGTTGGAGCTATGACACCCCAAGATAAACAATTCTCAAGTATTTGTAAACGACTATCGATTGATGATTGAACAGCAATATCATCAACATTTTGACCACTGGTACCCAGAAATCTTAAAAAAGAATAACATTTCTGAAATCAATTGAACACAATAGAGTGTCTAGAGTGGGAACAGATCTCTATAAATAATTCACATGTTTCGAATAATATTCATATTTCTTCAAAACTCTTCTTTCATTCTGTTTGCGTTCAATATTTATAAAGAAGATAAGGCATTAACCAGGAAATACTGAGTTTTCTTACCTAATATGTCCAATTTGAAACTCGTATGGATTTGTTACACAGTGTGTCGTTTTTTTTAAAGACAAGCTGGGAAACATAGACGGATGTAAAGGTTGTTGTGGTAACATATGACAACTATAAACAAAAGATCACTGATAATCGTCCAATCGAAGTTTTTTCGCTTACCTTGGATCATTAAGACCTGGTACAATATCTAAATCAACATTGATCTTAAAAACCAAATAAATTTTTGAAATTTATGATAAAAACATTCAAAGTTAGACTAACCGCTATTTGTTCAAGAAGTTCATCCACACTACGCATTGCTTCTATACTGCTTGGAGCCAACTTTCTTGTTATATATTTTGGCTAAAATAATGCAATAAAATGAGTTGTGAATAACGTAATATGTCACTCTTTTATTACTTGATTTGTGAATTCTTTTGAACGTGTTGAATTATCAACTAAATTTCCCACAACAAGAACTCTTATTGTATTCGATAAAATTTTTTGAACTTGTTTATCACAGTTCGATGATAATTTAGATGGTGAGAAAGACTGAACAAATGTTTGCATTTGATCAAAAATAATTGAATTTTCGGATAATTGGAAACCCGATACAAAGATAACAAATCTATAACGTGTAAGCAAAATTAGAGAGATCAATTGTCTTATAGAACAACAATGACTTACTTTTCTTCTTTTGGAAGTAATAATACATCCTGTGGTGGTAAATCTTTGAAACAATAATCACTTACAATAAATGTTCCCTTTTCATCTTCATGACCACGTGCAGCCATGACAACACCTGAATATAATAACATTCCAAGTATTCTTCGCAACCAATCTTTTTGCTCTATTCATCTCTAAATTCTTACCGGTTACGAGCATATTAGTATCTATATTTCCACTTAATGTTATTCGTTGCGATACTTCTTCCAGTATCAGTTTATCGCTTGGATCAACATAACGTGTGCGTGCTGGTTGTGGAACGAAACCATTCTAAAAGATGATAGACATAAAATACATCTTCATTATGATTATCTTTAATGCTTACATCTGCAGAAAGTTCTTTAACAATGCTTGGTTTTAAAATCATTTGTTTAAAAAGTGTACCAATAATTATACATTCTTCATCCACTTGAATATCAGCCATATTTTTAATTGCTACAGCTTTTCCTATGATCATAAAACAAGAGCTAAATCAAATTTTTTATTAAACAGTTATTACTAACAATCATTTACCCCATCGATTTTCTGCTGCTTTTTTTACTAAAGGTAGCATCACTAATAAACGTTCAGCATAGATATGTGCATATTGAACATTAAAATTACGATTTTTTAATATAAATTTTTTCGATAAATTAATCCATTCCGTTTCTGTTTGTACTACTATTAATTCTTCCTTTCCATCACTATTTACACTATCTTGTTTGTAACGTTTGCTATTTTGACTGGTTTCTCGAAGAACTTGACTACTCTGGACATTCTGTTGATTATTATCGTTCGATGTTGAAGTTGATGCCACCGGTAGAGGAACTGGTAAAGGCGGCGGAGCTTTATCTTGGACTTTTATTGTTGCTGATGATGTAGGTATTTGTCCTTTTTCTTGTGATATCACAGGTTTTGTCTCAACTGTTTCCTTTGTTCTATTAAAAAACGATGCAATAGTCTTTTGGTTATTCTTCTTCGACATTATTGTATCTAAAAAGCAATGTCAATACAATATGGAGATAAATGTAAATCCTGCATAAAACCGTTTCGTACACTGACTTTGAATGTACAAAAAAATTCTATTTGCATGATTTATTATTACAATATGATCTTAAACGATATAATCATTTAAAAAACAAAAAAATATAAAAAGAAAGTTTACTCTATTTCTAAAAACAAATACATCTGCAATAATTAAATGTAAAACGGAAAAATATTGTTCATACTGTTGAGAAGCTTTATTCACTGGTTAAGAAAATGAGAGGTAAAAAAATAGCTTTTTTTCTAAATCAGTTGGAAAACAAAATAAATTTATGTAATTCTTCGTACTGTACTGCTGATAATCAGCTTATTTTTTAACTCGATTTCCAATATAACAATAAATAGTGGACAGCAATGATAAAACAAAAGTTTTTGAAAGGCTTCAAAAAACAAAAAAAAGATCGTAGTTCGAGTAAAACTATTTACATTGTAACTGTTTTCTTCATTATGTTAGAATTTAAGCTGGACGTTATTTGCGTATTCGTACAGCTAGTCTCTAATTGCCAAAATTCGCTGCCCTACAATGACAAAAAAAGAACATTTCAAAATGTACTTGTTGATTATTACAGAAAAAAATAAAGCTATACAACAAATAAGCAACAAACATCAAGCACGCATCTTTTAGCACAGAAATATAGGAAATCATAATCAAATCGAAATAAAACTCAACAAATGCCCAGTCTATTTTGTATCAACTTTACTGGAGTATACGATTCTCTATACATATTTGCCTATGATCTGAAGTAAAACGTTGTTTATCCAAAATCTCTTTGTCTTCAGTGAAATAAGAAATCTGATAACTACAACGATTTTTATTTAGATAAAAAAATAGCATTTTTTGACAAAGCAAAAGCTACTTGCTACAGCTCAAAAGCAAGAAAACAAAATTTATTGCACATTTCAATTATCCAAGATTATAAATGTTACAGACAAAAAGTTTCTGTAATAAATACGAAGAAGCTAATCTAACAACAAGTTAAAAACAAGAAAAAGACTAGGAAAAACACGAGAAAATTTGATTATTTTATGACTATGAAAATTGTATTTTGTGAGCTAATTGAAATCTATTCGAGCTTTAACAAAAAAAATAACATGTTCGATTAGACTACACTGTTTCTGCTCAATATCTGTTACAAAGCCAAAAATAAAATAAAGCTATCATTACTATATACACACTGTTCAATATTTATCGCAAGATACCTTTGGCACCGTATAACCTTTCTTCGCACACCAATGTTTGAAAGCATAGCGTATCACAGAACATAATTTTCGATCACGATTTTTACAATAAAGGCGTACATCATGTTCATGAAATTTATCTGGCAATAATGTTGACACCTAAAACAGAAACAATATGAAGATATTTAGCAAATTTTCCTCATAGTCAAAACAAGTATACTTGATCTCTTGAAACTTTTGTTGCTTTATTTAAATTTTCTTTTGTATAACAAAAAACATTTTGAAGTGGATCTTGTCCTTGATTTCCACATGTCAACTCAACAGCCTAAAAATTATGAAAAAAATATCGTTAGACTACAATTCTCTCTACAGACATAAAATTACTCACTTGGATAACTAAATCATCACTTGTTATGTTTCCTATCATATTCCCAAAGTCACATTCCTTAAATATTTCATTACAAGCAATTTTACGATCAATCTAAAAATAGACAATTAGTAGTCCAGATTTTTGCTTTGAAATACTAATCAGTCAACAAACATACTTTGGTTCGAAATATTTTGTTTGGAAATATTTTACTTGATATTTGAAAATTACCAATATAACTATAAATGCCTCTTCTTTCAACTTTATCTAATATTTCTTTTGCATGATTTAATTGTTCATCATCTAAATGTTTAATAAGTGTTAAAATATTATCATCCAATTGAATGTATACACCCATATCGTCAACTGCATCAGATAAACTAATATATTTTCTACAAATTTTTTTGGAAATGAAACAAAATCAGTTTATAAATATTATGATCAGACTTACCCCAATGAGTTTCTGAACAATAAACAACCACTAGCGGACATCAATGCTTCGGTTAGCCTGAAAACAAACAAATATAAAAGTGGATGACAAAAAAACAAATAATTATGATGACTCACATTAATCCAATGGCATTAACAACCGGATGCTGATAACACGTGCGATGTAATTCTTCTCGAATACGATAAATATCATAGTATGATTTAACTTCCTATAAATATAGGATAGTTTAGCAAAGCTCTAAGCTCTTTTTTTCAGATCTGTTTAGTGCGTAAATCGCAAGTTCATTTTCCAGTGCAACTGGATAAGACAGCAACAATTAGCGATTTCCTGAAACGTACAGCAATCACTAAAGTCAGACACAGCAAAGCGTTAATGAGCTTTTCGTAACACAGGGATCAAAAACTACAAAGCTTGATCTGAAACGATTTCTCGACAGTCAGTTCAGACAGGCGAGTCAATGTTCAGTTGTACTTTATTTTTTTATGATAAAGACAGATAGTTTGCACTCCGCAGAGAAAAGAACATGTTATAGTGCTTTGTTTTTGATAAATATATATCATTATGAACAAAAATGAACAAATATCAAGAGATATCAAGAGCTCAATCTCTGTCTAAACCGCTATTACCTCACAGGTTTGTCAATCTAAAATGTCATCTTTTTTCGAGGAAATTTTTAGGCTCGCTCGGGAATGTATTAATTGATTCTGCATCTTTTGGCTCGAACTCTTTTGGGATTCTCCATAAACATATTAGACAGATTCTCATATTTAGTATGATACCTTCTCACGCATACACAATTGTTTACTTCCGTTATCCAAGCTTAGTACACGATAAAATTTCATAAATCTTGTATGATCAAATTGATTTAATTTTCCTAAAGTAAAAAATATATAAAGTCAAAACACTTTTAGTCAATCTGAATGTAGACGTTTCGTGAAATCAAATTTCATAACTCACTTACCTAAATGATGACAATCTCGTGCAATATAATCAAATTTGTCCACGTCAATACCAGTACTCTTATTTGAAACAATCTAGAATTATAGATCATTACATGCAACAATAAGAAAATTTTCTTTCTATGAGTTTTAAAAATGAGTTTGTACCTCATACAAAAAAGATTTTGAGATATCACGACCTTTATACTGCCAGATCTATGAGAAAAATGAAGAACAGAGTCATATTAACAACCCGTAAGAGATGTACATACTTCATATTGATGTACATTGTCCAATGGTCCATATATAAGTTCTTTAATAAATAATAAATCCAAGTTATCAATACCGACTGAATAAAAATATGAATTTAAATTATTTGACTCAATCATATAGTCAAACATCTCTATTGATGCTTTTTCATGCTAGAAAAAGTTTTTATCTGTTAATGTGAAAATCAGATTTAAAGCGATTCAATTAGACATACTGTCCATTGTCTTTCAGGACGAACTTCATGGAGTACTTCTTCAAACATGTGCGAGAATCTAAAACATCAACAAATTGCATTTTATTTGCATGTTACTGCAGAGCCCGAGTATAGCGGAGACCGCACAGAAACTCGATAGCAGCGACTCACCAACTACACCATATCAAATAAATAATCTTGTAATAAATGAAATACTCACGGGCCATGACCGAGATCATGACATAATGCAGCGATTTGGACACATAATACATCTTTGTCTGTTATATTCAATTCTGGTTGATTCTGACGCAAGTAATTCAACAATTCACCGGCCAAAAAACAAGTTCTAGCATGAAAAAATTATGGCATGACAATATTAGAGATCGACAACTATTTGTAAATCAGCAACCATTTATGAGCAAGCACTCAACGAATGATGATGAACTTAAAATGACAAGAAAATTTTTTTATCCACTTTTTTTTACTAAATCGATTGACTAGGTTTTCTTTATTTCAGAATATAACAATGTCATTCAAGCTCTAGTAAACTTACCCAATTGAATGTTCAAATCGATTGTGAGACGCACCAGGAAACACATAATATGTTACTCCAAGTTGTTTTAATCTTCTTAATCGTTGAAATTGTGGTGTATCAATTATTCTAACAAGAACGGGATTGAGTTCAATGTGACCATGGATAGGATCATTAAAAATCTACATAAAAGAAAAATTATTATTTAACACTGTCATTTGTTAGGTATTCTTACTTTTGTAGCAGAAATCGCTCTTCCATTTTCGTTATCACTATAATGCGAAAAGAAAACATAACTGTTAAAATTAAAAATTATAATGTAAAGTACAGATTCATCTGCACATATGATGACACTAACATGGGTTTAGCCTGTTCTGTTGTTAATTTCTCAGTTTTACTTCTCTTCGCCGATGGTTCTTCCGACATCAGCGAATGAAAACACGATAAATCTACAATTAAAAATCATTTATTAACAAAATAACAAAAAATTAATTTTTTTCTATCTTTTGCTCAGACACTTTTAAAAGCACTGGAAAAATGAAAATTTTTTGTTTTTTTGTGTCAATGTATGCATGCAAATCACATAAAAATACAAGAAAAGAAGTGATTTAATCACAAGCGAACGTTAAAAAAAGAGATACATATATATATACCCTACTAGACCAAATCATAAAAAAAATAACATTGCAAACAAATTTTTGAAAAAAAACGATGATTAACATTTATTGCATAATGTTAAATGAGACGACTAGATTAAAAGTTCACCGTTTTGAAATTTGTTCACACATCTTACTTTGTATAGCTAGAAAATGATTGTTTCAACAGTTGAAAGTGTAACATGAAAGACAATAGGTAGTTCATGTAAGAAACAAAAAGATAATTGCAACATATTAGATAAAATTAACAAATTGCAGAACAAAGGAACAAACGTTTCACTTTCCTTGACCTGTTACATCGCGGTTACTTCAGGTTGTAAATTAAGCCTAGGAGAAAAGAAAGCGATGTTAGAGAAATATTAATAATGTAAAAAGAGCACTTACCATTGTGTACATTTTTCACCTGGTTTCATATCACTCAAAGATACTATGACCTGGAAGTAACGAAAAAAAACAATGCATTGACACGATCTGTGATATTCAATTCTTGTTGTCCTTCTTATATAGTGACCTAGTCTGATAATACAATGTATATAATAGGCCTACTCTATTTAGATATATACTTATACGAAACGACGAAGTTGTTTTTAAAAACAGCGATTATTCCTTACATTGGACGCCCAGAATCAAAATGCAGCTAGCATGAGTACATTCCAAAAGTAGAAGAAATGCAAATGGAGAAAATCGAGCCCATTCTCTTACTTGTCCTACAAATTGTTTTTCATTTGTTAAGATGTCAGGCTTATGTTTGATATCCAAAGATAATGATTTATTTATTAAATTTTGGTGCGTTATCACAGATTCAAATGTGTGATTTTCGGGCAAATTCAATCTTTCAATCATTGATGTTTGCTCGGTCTTATAATTTTCATTCGATAATAATTTTGCAGTGATGTCTAAATCGTTCATACTATTTTTATTTGTATTCCAAACATTTTCAAATTTTAACACACTGACAATAAATTTACTCCGTTCATCATCGTACATACGAGATAATTCAATTCGACAATGTGTTGAGGATAATGATGTATGATGAAAAGTTGTTTCATGAACGATAGGATCATGTTGAAATTCTTCTAATTCATGATTGAGTTTCGATAATAATTCAGTATCTTCTGCTAATGACAACTTTCGAGGATGAATTTCATGAACAATGGGATCGTGGATATCAGTACTTTTTAATGGTAGTTCATCTTTAACTGAAACAGGTTTCGTTGAACTGTCTAAGCCCGTTTTATTTTCATCTTGATGATTGTTATTCATTGATGGATAATAATGATTCATATCATTGTCATGCACGGTAACTGTGTTGGTTTCTTTTAGTGAATGATCCTGGATTTCATTTTTTTGAACTACGTTTGTATCTGTAATTCTGGTTGGTAATTCAATATTTGAAGTTTGATCCGATGAATGTGTATTTTTAGCATGACCATCATCAGCTAATTGCTGCTGAACGACTTTTCCAAGTTTTTCTTCTTCGTTTCCATTTATTTGTCGATGTTTCATATCTAATTTCTTTAGTTCAGATATCTCTTTGTTGTTGTGAAGTTGTTCACTTACTGCTGTTGATTCGTCTTTTCTTTTATACGCATCTTCTTCTTCTTCTTCTTCTTCTTCATTATCTGACTCCTTGTTACTTTTCTTTTCATCCTAAACGAAATAAAAAAAATGGTAAATAATTTTGTGGGTGAAAAACTATTCTCAGATCGAAATTGCTTCGACGAAAACACAATTTCATCTGATAAAAATAACTATACAAAAAATTTCTTACTTACATCAGAAATCTTTCTGTACCATGATAAAATGTACATAGATACAGTTAGCGTCACACAAACAGTAATGCTTAACAGCACTTCAGTTACGTTAAACATTTTCACTTTATCTAAAACATTAACAAAACGAGAATGATAGAATTTACCAACAAATGGGTGAACTTTCTGACTACTGTCCATTTAAAGAGATTAATTTATTTATATCACCATCTCAAAATGAATAGAGACCCAAAGTTCTGTAACACAACATCTCATTTCTTTTCTCATTAAAACAGACGTAGACCGCATAATATTGGCTAAAAATTGTTGAAACCCGAAATGTATTTGTCATAAGAATGGCCATGACTTCGGAGCTACTTGTTATTCTATTAACAAATTGTGTACAAAAACATTCAAATGGTCTTGACTGGGTGAACTACATCTTATTACCGATATCATCGGAGCAAAATTGACCTCCCCGGAGTATAGTCCTATTCATCCAATGGTATAGGACCATGTTGTGAAGGTCTATCAAAAGCAAAAGTAGAATCAATCAATTTTGTTGATTAGGAAAAAATCGTCTTTTAACTAGTAGCACAGACTCGATCATTTTTCTGAATAGTCTGTTGAATGAATGTATGAACAGCACTCTTACTTTTTTCACTTCAGAGATGTTTGCGTTCACATTAGGACACTGGAGGTGATCTCCGTTATTACTAAACTACCGCGAATTCGAAGAGCTGAGAATGGTACTTATACAGCCGACTATTCAGAAAAAATGATCGATTCTGTACAGCAATTTTCTTCGTAAAGTTTTTAGTTCTTTATATTGAGTTCATTATAGTGAATTCCTCCGAGCGTTTGCTCTTCATTGACACATCATATCATGTCAAGATAATCAAGCACCACTTGCTCCTCACGTTATTACCTCAATTCCGGTTCTACAAACTTTGGTCAACGGTTGATGGTAGAATCCGTGATTCACGATAGATAATTTGAAAGTTATCATTATACTCATTTTTTTCACCGTGCGGTGCGATTTTATATTTCGAGCCAGCCAATCATCTGATATCAGATGGCGATTGGGCAAATGTCTGTGAATACTTTGAGAAAGATGGCGCAAGTAGTAATTGAGACGATCTCCTCTCTGATTTAAGTGAAACGTCATCACGAAAGAGGGTAGAAAAAGTGAGAGCTTACATTGATAATTTCAACTCTCAATCAGAACGATGACTGAAAAAATTAGAAATTTCAGTCTTGTCCAGACTTACTTTGCAAAAAAGATTTGTTTTAAGTTGCCGTCTAATTTTTAGTGATCTAGTAAACAAATGAAAATATTCTGTGGAGAACATTGTTGTTCTATGAGCTCAATTTTTTTTCGATAATAGAATACTTTAGCGATATCGGCGCTGAATGATGATCTATAGCTAGGAAAGAGTTCATTAGGTTTAGTTATTGATACTTACAAATGAGTTCATCTCACTCACCATTAAAGTGTGTATTTTTTTATTCTACAGTTTTCATTTGAAAAAAATTGCAAAAAGAAGACTGGTAGAACCGTCAACCTGGTTCACTTATATCATCAATTTCTTAATATTATCAGTCGCTGTTTTGTTTTTATTGATGGTCTTTTCCATTACTCATGACTGAAAAATTTATACTAATATTGTGCAAATTATCTTTTTCTTCAGATTTGTATTTTCTAAAGTACAATTTTGAGGAAAGTTACAAAATATGCCAGCTAAAACTTCAAAACCAAAAAAAACCGAAAAAGAAACTGGTGGTTCCTCAACATCGGGTGGTAAAGCAAAAAAGAAGAAATGGTCAAAAGGAAAAGTTCGCGATAAATTGAATAATATGGTATGTAAACAAACCAATATATCGATATCATTCTTACTCAAAGTTGTTTTTAACCTTTCACTTTAGGTATTATTCGATAAAGCAACATATGATAAATGTGTAAAAGATCTTCCTCAATACAAATTAATAACACCAGCTGTTGTTTGTGAACGATTTAAAGTACGTGGCAGTTTAGCACGATCAATTATTCGTGAACTAGTTAAAAAAGGTCAAATTAGACAAGTTGTTAAACACAGTAAACAAGAAATCTACACAAGAGCAACAAAAGATGATGCTGCACCGGAAGCCGAAACAAAATAAAAACAAGATCAACCTATGTTATTGTTTTGTCATAAAATTGTTGTTGTTTCCATCTTAAAAACAAAATTTTAATAAAAAGAAACTGATTTCTTAAAATTATTGTTAATCGTTTGCTGAATCACGTTGACCTTATGAGAAAAACTTATTCCTTTCCTTAGGAAGTTTTTACCGACTACCTACTGAACAATAGGAGAAAATCTTAAGAGGCAGTTTGGTTTGAACTTTGCACACATTAAAATACTTTTATGCATCTAAACAGACGATACTTCTTGCCATACTATCGATTTGTTGTGTTTGTTTAAGTAAATCAAAGTAGGATGAATGGAGTTAAAAAGTTATGCAATACCGGTGGTAAAATTCAATTTTTGTTCTTTTCCTGTGTATGTATTTTTATTTCAGATCAGTGAACATCAGATATTCACATATATGTCTGTACAATCATCAAATCCGCCTAAACGGAAAGAGATTTATAAATATGAAGCGCCATGGATGGTGTATGGAATGAATTGGTCTATAAGACCAGACAAACGTTTTCGTTTAGCTCTTGGCTCATTTGTTGAAGAATATAATAACAAGGTAGTAAAAACGGATTTTTGTAAGAAAAAAAAGTGTTATTATAATTCTAATATCTAATATTTCTTATTTTAGGTTCAAATCGTTTCATTAGATGAAGAAACATCTGAATTTATACCACGTTCAATATTTGAACATCCGTACCCAACAACAAAACTTATGTGGATTCCAGATACGGTATTAAATACTTTATGACTTTAGATCACAAAGCAAAATCTCTATCGTTGTTCTCTTTTTTAGAAAGGAGTTTTTCCAGACTTATTAGCGACAAGTGGTGATTATTTGAGAGTATGGCGTACAAGTGACAATGAAACCAGACTGGAATGTTTATTGAACAATGTACGCTCAGATTTAGAAATCTTAACTGTTCTTTTAATTCTCTCTTTGTTTTTAGAACAAGAACTCTGATTTTTGTGCACCATTAACATCATTCGATTGGAACGAAGTTGATCCTAATCTCATTGGAACGTCAAGTATTGATACGACGTGTACAATATGGGGACTAGAGGTGTGTATTTTCGAAAAGAAGAAATAGGCAGTTTATTAACGAAAAATTGTTTCTTGTCATAGACTGGACAAGTTATCGGTCGTGTTAATCCTGTAAGTGGCCATGTTCGCACACAATTGATAGCACATGACAAAGAAGTGTATGATATAGCATTTAGTCGTGGCGGAGGTGGCCGAGATATGTTTGCATCGGTCGGTGCTGATGGTTCTGTTCGCATGTTTGATTTAAGACATCTTGAACATTCTACAATAATTTATGAGGATCCTGCTCATCATTCACTATTAAGACTAGCATGGAATAAACAAGATCCAAATTATTTAGCAACATTTGCTATTGATTCAATGGAAGTGATTATACTAGATGTAAGAATTCCGTGTACACCCGTTGCACGTTTGAATAATCATCGTTCATGTGTCAATGGCATTGCCTGGGCACCACATAGTGCGTGTCATATTTGTACGGCGGGAGATGATCGTCAAGCATTAATATGGGATATTCAACAAATGCCACGTCAAATAGAAGATCCGATATTAGCCTATTCAGCCGAAGGTGAAATTAATCAAGTTCAATGGAGTTCAACTCAACCAGATTGGATTGCCATTTGTTTTAACAATTATCTTGAAATACTTCGTGTATAAAATTTTCTAGAAAATTTTCGCCTCTATACTCAATTGTGTTTCTCTTGTTTCCTCTATACAAATATGTCTCAAACTCTTTGATCTGACGTATTTTTATACAAACTTCTTTTTTGAAAAGCTCCATTTTAAAATAGTCTTCTAAGTTAGCTTTTAGAAGACTTTATTATACACACAGAATGAACACTTAGCAGATTGCTTATGTATAAGTTTATCTACGATAAAATCGCCCTTTACTTTGGGCTCTATCGAATAATTATTAAAAATAAATGTTTTATCTATGAAATAACTTGATTTATGCACGTACATATTTTTTTATGACTAGATGTAATTTTGAGTGATTTTGATTTTATCTGTAAAATGTACTAATGTTGGTTTTCTTATCTTTGTGAGATCTTTTTCCGTTCGCATTTATAATAGAAGTTTTTTTATGTGTCGTCTTCTTGACATTAGAATAGTTTAAACTTACACAAATCAATTTTATCATATTCTATAGTCGTGTGTCATTTGTCTTGTTATTATTATTATTTTTCTCGCGCATGTGTGTGCGTGTGTACATTTTGTACATACACTTTACCAGAGACAAACCATTTGCTTAAAGCGTATTTTCTGTCGTCTGTCTTATTGATTTTTTTTCAAATGAATTATTGTTTTCAGAATTTTTTTACGGAAATCTAAAAATTAAAAGAATTAAATTTAATATTTTTGTGGTTTATCACTATTGTTAAAAGAGATCTGGCTAGTTATACAAGATTGAGAATAGTTGTTAAGAGATAGATACCTAAGCTTTAACAGAGAAATTTTTTACGGGGTTTAATGCATTAATGGCCTCAGGTGCTTTATGAAACGTCAGTTCTCTCTCCACATTGTAAGCTATATTTTTCTCTACATTTCAGAACATTAAAAAGTTAGATCTTTGTGCTTTGCTTGCCTTTTCTTTTTTGTACGATTAATTAAAACAATGTCAGGTCGTGGTAAAGGTACGTTTAGAAAAGCTTCTTTGTCAAAAAAATAGTTCGATTTACTACGAAGTTTTTTTCACATCTTTTAGGAGGAAAAGGTCTCGGTAAAGGTGGTGCAAAACGTCATCGAAAAGTATTACGTGATAATATTCAAGGTATTACAAAACCGGCTATTCGTCGATTAGCGCGTCGTGGTGGTGTTAAACGTATATCGGGTTTGATATATGAAGAAGTTCGAGGTTCGTTTATTTTTGTTAAAAGAGCCGTACATTTCAGTATTTAACTCAATTTTTTGTTTCATTTCTTATTTTTATGCATAGGTGTATTAAAAATATTTTTGGAAAATGTTATACGTGATGCTGTTACATACACTGAACATGCCAAACGAAAAACAGTCACAGCAATGGACGTCGTTTATGCATTAAAACGTCAAGGACGAACATTATACGGTTTTGGTGGTTAATCAATAATGAAAAAATTTATTTGAATTGAGAACTTATTTCGTCTTTTCTTATCTGAAAATTTATTCTAGTATTTCTGTTGTGTTCATTTTTTTGTTATATATGTACTGAAATACTTGTGAATACATTTTTGTATTCTTTTTCTTGATATTTTATTAGTGTTGTAGAAAAATAACGTTAAAAACAGATTTCATTTATTAATACTGTATCTCTCTTTTTGTATACACTGCTTTTGTGTTTGGTGTTTCAATGTTGTAATTAAAAATAAATACAGTTAATTCAAGGTAAAGTATCTTCAATCAAGCAAGATTCTGTTTGATAGTAGAAGACAACCATAGGTTAGATTCAGTATACAAACCTGCACGAATTTACATATCATTGCGAAATAATCATGTATCTGACTTAAGTTAGGAACGAAAGTTGACTCTGAATTCAAGACCATGTTTGGCAGTTGAACGAAATTAAAAAATCTTTTGAGTATTTGAATTGAAAAGCATAGGTTTCCGTATTCTTCATTTATGTTCGGAAAATCTTTGTAAAACTTCTCATACCGATGTTATTTTGTCTTGACGATGGGTGCCGGCACAATCTTGTTGCTCATAATTTGAAAGTCTATCTGAACATGGTATTTAGTAGAATTAAGCAATCCAATTGCACATTTGCCTTTATCTTTCAGATAGAATCCAAACAGAAATTTGGGATTCGATTCTCGAGAACTATCAAAAGATTTGAACAAATTTCGTTTCACAAGTAATTACAATCGGTTTCGCTCCTTTTTCTTGGACAGAATCTTCTGAAATTCATTTATAACTCTAAAGGTATCATTTCATCGTGAACGAGTTAGATAATCATCAAAACAGTTTATTTTAATACTTATTAATAAACAACACAATCTAGAATTTTATTACTCTATCTATCGTTGAAATAAAACAAAAAGTTCATAATGAGTTGTGTGAGGAAAAAGATCAACTGCTGTTGCTTTCACAGGCACAAACGGTAAACCATGATAAGTATTAGATGCTGAACGTGTCAGACTAAAAAGAAAATATAAAACATATTCAAAGAAATATAAATTATCTATCGGGATAATTTTCCTGCGTTTAGCTAGCTTCGATAGTATAACGATATGCATGTTTTACGAAGGTGGCAAGTGTGTACTAAATCAAAAATCTTACTCGATAAAATTCTCAATGGCTAATGCTGGATTACATGAAATATAAGCCAATAGTTTCAAATTTGTTGCTTTGCGTAATGTCTGTATGACCTTCTTATCTATATGTCGAAAGAAAAATCCAGTGAAGAAAATATTATTAATAACTTGGTTAAAAAACTAGGACTTACGAACACCAGCTCGAGGAGGATCCAATATTGCAATAAGTCGATTATCTGCATATTTCTGTACAATTGAATGTATAACATTTTCAATTTTGTCCGATATAAATTCAATATTATTGATATCTAAAATAAAAATAACATTCATAGAAAAGATCACTTTAACCATAAGTTAGAATAATCTTACTATTAAGTTGAGCATTTTGTTTGGCGTCTTCGACAGCATCATTATTCATCTCAATACCAATGACTTGTTTTGTCGCCTATTAAATAATGAAGATCGAAGTAATTACTTTAACAGTAGTAATTAACAATAGTAACTTACATTGGCAAGTGTAATACCGATTGTGCCGGTGCCACAGCAAATATCTAATACGATCGTATTCTCGTCGAGATCCAATGAGTCCTTAACAACTGTAAACAATATTTCAGCACCAGCTGTATTAGCTGAAAGTAAAAATATGAAACAGGAGTTAAAAATCAAGAATAATAAAATGAATAAAACCATTTATACCTTGGAAGAAAGCCTTTGCGGATACACGAAATTCGTAATTTAATAACTTTTCAACAAGATACTACAAAATATATTAAAAAAAGAATAGTGGAAGATTTACAAGTGATAGAAAGTTCTACTCACATTATTTCCCAATAAAAACTCACTGCTAATCAGTTCATTTCCCGCTCTATAAATAAAAAGCAAAAGATGCACAAATATATCGTTTGAAATAAAACAGAAACAAAACAAGCTTACTTATTTTTCTCGAGATTAAAACAAATTGCTGTCACATTGCAGACGTTTCCATCACCATTTGTGAAATAGTCGAGAAAACGTTTCTTTTCATCTTCAATATCTTCCTATAAGCAAAAATACGTACAAAAATCAATAGAGATATTACTAAATTTTCAGTATACAGTAGATAATATGCTTTGACAAAATGAAACAATCATCATGATATGTTGTAGACGATTCGTTCGAACGGTCAATTGTCTCCAATAACCTGCATGAGTTTCGGTTGAGAATGATGCATGTACACTTGAGCGAATAAATGATTGGAAATGCTAAATTACAAAATTATTAGAAATAAATTGTATGTTTTCTAAACTGCTTTTGTACACGTACTTCTACAACTAATTTCATACTATCTGGTACATTTCGACAATCTTTCGGGCTACCGACACGATTTGAACCCGATCTATACTCGCCAAAACGAAATCCAACAACTTTTTCTACAAAACATCAATATCGTGTCAACTGTAGTCCTTTGCTTTGAACTCTCTTACCTCCATTATCATCAGTACCAATTGAAAACTCGCATTTGTTTCGATAACCGTCCACAACTGGCTGAAATGTAGAAATCTTTCCAGAATCCATATCAATGAAAAAATGGAGCATACCGAAGGTTTAATACCATCATATGGAATTGATACTATGCTAGAAAAACAAAGAAAATGAGAGTATTCATGCGAGAGTAAAAAGAGAAAAATTCGCTTTTAGGAACTAGATATGGCATCCGTATCAGTATACTGACAATACTAATACTGATGAATACTGAATACGGACAATGGAAAAATCTTTTTTTAATTCCAAATCTATATCGTCACAAGATGTTGGTCGGTTTTAATCATGTCCCAATAGATCAACATATCATCTGTTCTTTTCCGCACAGATGTTGAATATGACCCTAGTCAAAGTTCTTGGGTAGCAAGAAAATAAAATCGTGAGATATTAATAATCTATAAAAATGTGTCTGTGAAGCCGAAAGCGGTCAGACAATTAGGACTTTCCCGTAGGATGACAAATCGAGCGAAAAAAACAAAAAGCTGAGTTATTTTGGACCCATTAGATTTGTCAAACATTTTGTGACGATATAGATTTGGAATTAAAAATTTTTTTTTCTATTGTCAGTATTCTCAGTATCAGTATTTCAGTAAAATGCTGATACTGATGTATATCTATTATAGGGCTGTGACAGTTACCAGTTACCGTTACCACCGTTACTCGGTAATGGTAACGACTAGTTACAAGTAACGGTAACTGTTCAGCAGTTACAGTTACTGTAACGGTAATGGTAACTGTCACAGCCCTAACCTATTAGGAACAAATAAAATGTGATGCAAAAACGATAATGTTCGCATAATCGCGTTGTTCATTGTAAAAAGTTGGCTTTCTGTTTGTTGAGAGCAGAATACTACTATTAGCTTTACTTCGCTCGTATTGTCGAACAGCAAAATTAATAGCGAAACGTGAAGGTTTTGAAAAACAGGATTGCTTTCTCAACGACATTGGTCAAGCGATAGCAAAAAGGAGAAGAATATTGAAAAATTCACTAGTAGTTAGATAATAAAACGAACATACTTGTTCGAATTTAATTTGATTTTTTGTTCTAACGTATGCAGATAGGCAAGGACAATTTCCGACTTTTTCACTAATTGTTCATCATAATCTAAATTCCATAATGGTGTGGTGGCATTTTGAATTCTACCAACAAATAATATTCAGATTGACTATATAAATTCACTAATACGAAGAAAAATAGAATAACCTGGTATCATCTGAAATTTTCTCAACATTCTGACTCTGTTCTGCATTGTTGTTTTGACGATTTTCCTTCTTATTGGCTAGCTAAGACAAGAAAGAAACGTTGTTAACGATTTTTTAGAAAAAAAAATGTCATCACACATACTTTTCGACTTTTTTGTACTTGATTGTACCCATGGGTCGTTAGCTGGTCGAGCATGCTTTAAAAAAACATAAATAGTTTAGTTTCACATAAGATTGTTTAGATGATAAAGCTAATCTTCATTTACCGAGACTTCAATTTTGTTTCCCTTATATTTCCAGCCATCTAATAATTTGAATGATTTTTCTTTATCTTCCTCATTTCTGAAAGTGAATTCATGTGATATGGATACCTCTGAAGCAGAAGCAATACAACCATACCTAAATGTGACATAAGCATGACGCGCCTGATGCGGTACTTTCACTTTGACAATATTTAATCCAAGTGTACGTAGTTTTTTCTTCAAATCCTAATTAAGGGAACTAATTTGTCATTTAGTTCTTTCATTGAGAGATTTTACTTACAGCGTGTCCAAAAAATTTTGGCAAATTATTAATTTCAATTTTAAACTTTTCTGACGTATATTCACCCCGATCCAAGTAACCCATTTGTTTTGGTTCAGTATCTTTATCTGACTGCTGATCGCCTATATCCATTCCATCTTTTGCTTCACTAATTGAGGGAATCTCCGGTGATTTATTAACAATGTCCGAAACTACTATGTCTGTCATCTAAAATTTTTGACACATCAATAAATAAACTGGTAAGTTTGCTCAAGAAAAAGCTGTTGGAAAAACAAAAAGCATAATACAGCATTCCATAGAAATATGATTTAATTGTCTCAAATATGCTGAAGTACGCTTTGCATTTCTTTACACTTAACAGATACACCTTTAGCAGAAATGTAGAAAAATCTCTCCTGATAATATTATTTATTTCCTATAGAGCAATAGCAAGAATCAAAACCAACAAAAATAAAATAATTTACTATAATTAATAAGACTGTAATGGAATTTTATGAAAACCGGATACACGAATGAAGGTAAAAATACCACAGATTAAAGTAAAAGACATCTTAGTTAATAATTTTCAAATAGGACGGAATATAACAATAACACAAAACTTCATACTACAAATCAGCAATCATGAATAAAAGAAAATAATTTGCATGATTAAATATACTAGCATCGAAATAAATCGAATATAACGCATCAGGGTATTTAACCAGCACTGGTATATTTTGTAACAGCTTTAGTTCCCTCGCTCACTGCATGTTTAGCTAATTCACCAGGTAACAGGAGACGAACAGCTGTTTGAATTTCTCGACTTGTTATTGTTGATCTTTTATTATATTGGGCTAAACGAGATGCTTCAGCGGCAATTCGTTCAAAAATATCGTTCACAAATGAATTCATTATGGACATGGCTTTTGAACTTATACCTGTATCGACATGAACTTGTTTCAATACTTTATAGATGTAGATCGAGTAGGTTTCCTTTCGTTTTTTCTTGTTTTTCTTTTCAATTTTCGGTTTTGGAGGAATAGATTTTTTAACGCCTTTTTTCGGCAACACAGGACGCGGCTTTACATGTGTGGAATCCATATTCGGAACAACAATTCACTTAGAGAAAATGATGTTATTTATAGTGTAAAAGTACTCTTTTTTTTTGTTTAACTACAAGTTGAAGTAATGAATTGAAATTCTATGAAATACAAGCTCCACTTGTATTTCATAGAATTTCAATGGTGGTCGGTAAATTACGGCTGCGACTACGGCTATAAATGACTGGTTATCTGAAATCTAGATATAAATGCAGTTTAGCTGGGACAATCTTGAGTTTCCATAAAGCAGTAGTGTAAGAATGATAAGCAGTAATAAATATTACCGCACGCGCAAACAAACAATGAATGCTAACAGGACCAGAATTATAGACGTCGCTCTGGGAAATAGAACTAGCTGTCACCATAGTACATAGCCAGCCTTTTGCTACCTATGGTTACAGTTTATGATGGAAAATTTGTTCGTGTCTTTAGTAGAGGCAGTTCTAATCACTAAAAATATACTACCTGGGGCCTGTTTCTTAAAAAAACTTAAGTAGAAAATCTTACTTAAGTCCAAAAAAGTCTTTGTCTTTTTTGACTTAAATGAGATTTTCTACTTAAGTTTTTTTAAGAAACAGGCCCCTGAAACTTTGCTTTGAGTCTGACTTGACTTAATCGTTGAGAAAATCTGGCGTACATTGGAAAACGATGCAAAACATAGACAGTCGTTTTATTACATTGCGATGAATCTGTTAGAGTAGCAATTGGGTGATATGAGTTTTTCTTGTGCGGTCACTTATAGGAGACTAACGGATGAAGAGGGATTATGCTGTGGTGAGGTTACATAGAGGCAAATGAAGGTATTTTCTTCTCCAAATCCGTACAGGGTTCTGATCGAGCATTAAAATGTTGCACAGATGCAACAGTAGCCTCGTTATAGTTCATACGTAAGGTAAAGTAACTTCTGTTCAAGCCTTAGTAAACTGAAAAACAAGAAACAACTGTGACAACAAGAATACAAGTCAAAAACTAAGAAAACATAGTGTCAGCAACTGTAATACGATAGAATAATAATACTGTAATACTAATAAAAATAGAAAGAATAGGAAAAACATAGTCATTATAAACACTTTCATAATATGGGGTATATTACAGAAATTTCAAAGTGTTTTGGAAACTGAAAATAAAACTAAATACACTAAACTATTAGAAAAATATAACGAATTTAAAAAAAATGAAGAAACAAAATTGATATTTAGATTCAGACAGGTACAAAAAATGAAGCAATCAAGAGAGAAAATTAGTGAACTATAAAAAAGAACGGCCATCTAATACTGTGTGAGAAACTGAATAAGAAACGACAGATTATCGTTTAGGAGAAAAAATAAATAAATTTTTACATCGTCTTTTTGTAACAAATATGATGAATGCCACAGAAACATTAGAGTTGAGACAACGAACCGACGAAACAGCTTAAGGGTTTTTTTGTTGTTGAGATTAGTTGATACGGCGAACACTAGAAAAATACGGGGACGTAATGCCATTTGTGGAGAGAACGACTGGAGTGTAATTGACCTAAACAAACAATACGAGTACACAAAGACCTGTCGTTCAAAAAACGTAAGGCAAAAAGTGAACTTATCTGACTTCAATTGAAACGAGAATGGGCAAACATCATATAAACGTCGCATAAAATAAAATAAATTTCAAAATAATAGCAAAATAAATGCTGCTGAAAAAGAATTATCTTTTTTGAACGAAAATATTACAGCGGTTCAACACAAAGTAAATTGCATAAAGATTTGTTACCCACGGAGAACCTATTGTTGGTAGTTGTAACGGTTGGTTCGTAGGAAAACTTGAGCATGTTCTATTGGTAATATTGGTTAATGCACGAGGTGCAGTATTCTAAAAGAAGTATTGAAACTAACTGAATGAATACACGACCATCTTTCTTCACCTAAAGCTGTTCGAAGGAACATAAGCCACACACATTGGCAGCCGATAACATTGGTGCCGATGATACACGTTAGACGACGGCTAAATGAGGAAAGAATTTTATGCATATAATTAGCACAATCCAGCTGTATCCAACAATATCAAAAAACGCAATTAAATATTTTCTCATATTCTGAATTTCCGGCACCTTACCTCAACATCAAAATCGACTTTTCTAGGTTTTTTCCTTCCAGCCGGTTTTATTTTTTTCTTCCTTTCTCGCTTTCTTCCCTTTTCCACCCCAGCGATCCCGATCAAGGGGGGGGGAGGCGGCAGGGGGGCCAGCCCTCCCTGGAATTTTTGACTTTCCGTAAAAGTCTTTCCCTTGCTTTCCGCCGCGGAAAATGTAGCAGCGGTATAAAGGGAAACGGACAGTTGTTCATAAACAGTTCCTCACGGACACTTTCTCACGAGGATGTTTCCTCACATGGACGGTTCCTCATATGTATCGTATTTTTGCATCATCATTTCCATAAGATTTTTTTTAATAAGCTTTCCGCCACAATTATAGCCCTCCCTGGCCCAAAAACAATCGGAATTCCTGTTCGACTCAGATTATACGTTGTTGTTGTTTTCAGTTGTGGAATGTTTAACAAATTTTTGATGGCCACTATATGGAAACAGGTTGCTATTTCTCTTTTGCAGGAGCAAAAGAAATTTGAACATTTTCGTAAGTCCACAACATAAACCTTGTCATTGAATGATTTGACTCAAAACACGCCTGTACTCGATGAAAATTTAACATAACCATGGTCAATAAATAACTGCCATTTTTCGTCAGCTGATAGTGCTCGAATTTTTGTATCGGGTGTTGTATTGAAAATCGACAGCGAGGATGAGGAGCACGATGTTGTTGAAGGAGACGAAAAAGAATGTGAGCGTTCATTTCGTGTTGGTCTATGTGTAACTTCACTATTTGAACTAACATACTGCAGACTTTTGATGGTTTCAACAACCGTATCAGGCGAATCAACGGATAATTCTTCCAGCAACGTATCTTGTTTATATTGTTTCATATTAACCGGCCGCTTGTATCTACCTAAACAGAAAAAAAAGGCTACACAAAGAATCGATGTTTCATTTTCAATAAAAGCACTTATCTGAGTGATTTAAGCAAAATGAACAGCAAATAAATGTTAAATCATAAATAAAATTGTGAAAAAATAATAAACGAATAAATATTGGACGGCGTGCTGCAGCTGATCTACCTAGCTTACCAACACCACAGAAACTCCTTCCTAATTCATTAACATAACAACCCTGAAGACTTTAGAATAACAGGACGACACGATCGATCGGAAAACGACACCAATTTTGTTGTTGTTTGTATACGTAATTCAATGCTTCACTGACATTTGATGTAATTCCCCTATAACCATCAAAAATCCCGTATTTTTCAATCTCACATTTTCATATTTATAAAAATTGATACATCGACATTCAGCCGTATGTATCTTTAATCTGTACCTCCTTAGTATTTGGTATGCTTTGTTTACTCAATACTTTTTTCTGTATCTTTTAGTCTTCACAGCAAAGATTGTCAACATAATCAACTTCAGCATCAGGATCAACGACTTTTCGAGATTTGTCGACGATACAAGCTCGTGAATTACTTCATCGGCGTTTACAACGTGTGAAGCAAGACATTATTGACTGAAATGAAACTCTCCTAATTTTTACGACTCAGATTTGTATATATGCGCTTCTGTTTTCTTACGAAGCCAATAATCATTGCATTATGTACGTTTGGTAGTGGTAGATTAAATATTCTATTTTTCTTATTGCTTGTTAATCTTATTTGATTTTCTCTTGCGCTGTATGTTTTACGTTTCTTCTTGGTAAAAAGAGGCTAATTGTATTCTCGTATTTTTTTACACATGCATCATATTCATCTTATTGTCACTTCTGTTTTTGGACTTCACAAAATCCGTTCATCTGTCCTTTTTTTCTATACATATATGTATGTATATATTTGAAGTTAGGAACTCAGGAACTACGTTAGAGAATGTGGCCAGCAGACGTTCTACAAGTTAGGCCAAATCCGCCAGAAAATGGATTTTTCCGCTGCAAGAGTAAAATGGCTATAATTTTTTTTCTAACAAGGCTAAAGACTTGCGGTTTTCACCATTCGGTTCAGCTTGCTGAGCTCTATAATTTGAGACAGGTCTGGTCACTAACGTCAAAGATCGATGTAAATGGTGGCAGGTTTTAGATAAATCGAGCCTATCCGTCGATGCCGAAAACACCACTTTGCAGTAGTAATATCCAAAACAATGAGTGTTCGCGCTTTCAACTAGAAATGAATTACCAGTCATTTTGTAGAGTCTTGAAAGAGCTTTCTTTTGATATATAATGTAGACCGCAACCTAAGTTCGTTTATGGTAAAAACACAGAAACATTATCCTTCAGTATGCTTGAAAACATCACTCTTCAGTAGTAATATCCCAAAAAGTGAGTGTTCGCACTTCCAACTAGAAATGAGTTACCCACTATTTCGTAGTTTTGAAAGAGCTTTCTTTTAATATATAATGTGGACCGCAACCTAGATTCTCTCATGGTAAAAGCAATAGACATACTATCGTTGGCTGTACTGGAAAGACCGCTGTTTGACAGTAATATCCGAAAACGTCGATGTTCGCAGTATCGATTAGAAAAGAATTACACAGCATTTTGTAGGATTTTGAAAGAGCTTTCTTTTGACATATAATGTAGACCGCAACCTAAGTTCTCTCATGGTAAAAACACAGAAACATTATCCGTTATTATGCTTGAAAACATTACTCTACAGTAGTAATATCCCAAAAAGTGCAGACTTATTTGTGTTCGTACTTCCAACTAGAAATGAGTTACCCACTGTTTTGTAGAGTTTTGAAAGAGCTTTATTTCGATATATAATGTAGACCACAACCTGGGTTCTTCCATGGTGAAAAAGTTGAAATACTATCGTGGACTATGCTGAAAAGGTCATTTTTAACAGTAATATTCCCAAAACGTGGGTGTGACCAGTGTACATAACAATTGAGCAATAGATAGTTTTGTTCACCGTTTAAAGTTGCATCGAATGGTATATAAGACTTTCCTTCAAACTTGTTATATTCTGAGAAAATTTCGGAAAAGGCCTCAGAATGGGCTCGCGGGAGCTATTGTTCAAAGCTGATCGATTTTCTGACACATATGAGGTTCGAAGGGCACCCAAGGGTGTAGAACCCCATAAATTTGTATCCTCTTTCATTCTAGATACCTTTCGAGTAGACCTGAAATGGGGCCGATCCTCGTTCTTATTGCACCCCGTCCTTTGAAACAGTATTTTTCAATGCGATTTCCTTCACTTGATGTTCTTGCAGTTGATCCTTTCGCCCACTATGCTCTCGATTTCACAGACGAATATGCTTTCTTCTACGATCTGCTTAATTTAAAACATTGGACAATCAACGTAACATGGCCTCTAAACACGACAACAAGCAAATTCTTCTCGCCACACGCGATCGATATCAGTCCTCGCTTCGTTTATGTCACCGGTGGTAGCGTTGAAACTACCGAACCGAACAAATACTATTTTAGAACAGTTGTCTATCTGATTTCAGTTGATTTTCAGTCCTACGAGCAGCACGAAATCCAGTTTCTTGATCGGCGGTCAGTAAAAGAAACCGTCTGTCTACAATGAATTTGAACGAAGGAAAACGTCTATAAGTATAAATTATGTCACTAAGTTCTTCGACAAAATTAATCCTTCTAATATTTATTTGTTAATACAAGGATTAAAATCGTTGAATCTTTTTTTGTCATCAAAGAAAACAAGTAAGGTGCCGGCAATGCGAAATTCAAGTAAAAAATTTTTTTTGCCGTTTTTTTTACATCATTTGATAGAGTGAGAGTTGCTGATCACGAAAAACAACTTTTTACCTTACACAAATATCTTTTTCAGGTCGGAAAATACGAAAAAATCGAAGTATGT